AGGACAATCCGCAGCGAGAGGGTAGAGATTAAACGTGGGGAACTAAGAGCGTTGGGGGACGCCGCAGGCTTCTAGAAAGAGCAGTTAAACGAAAGGATCAAACGGTGGACGCAGCTGGAAAGGAGCAGGAGTCAACTGGGAGCAAATCCCAGTGCTGAGCCTTGCTCCGCTCACTACGTCCCCCAGGGAGAGAGGGGCTGGGGGGAAACGACCTTTTTGCCGAGACGTCTGAAACAAAGCGGAAACGCGCACCAACCGACAAACCTCCGCTCTACCTTCTTCCTGATTTTCCCCAAATTGGATTCATGGGTGCATCTTCCTCTCGCCCGCCCCGCCGAAGTCCTGCCGCGGCGCTTCCCGGGGCCGGGAGCTACGCTGCCAGGCTGCTCTCTCAGCCTTCCTGCTCCCCTTACGGCCGGAGTCTACGTTTCACCAAGTCTAGCGCTGAAGGAAGCTATTTTAAACTGCAGTAACGCATATGCAAGCTGTCACGGCATGTCACTCCTTCGCCATGGCTCGGGTTAGAAAAAATCAGGCCACATACGGACGTTAGAAATGGGGAGAAAAATGAGCTGAAGGTTCACCCGTAAAGCTCGACAGAAGGCGACCGTGAACACCTCCCCTGCGACGGCTGCAGCCTCCTTGCGCCCGACCACCTGCGCGGGGATTACAGGATTATAAGGATGATAGCAGCTCCGGCGGGGGCGGGAGGGGGTTTCCCGGAGCCCCCAAGCGCTCCCTGCCGCCTCTCCCCGACCCGCAGACGCCCTCGGAGCCGGCAAACGCCGCGCGGCGGCTTACGAAGCAGATGACTCTTAGCTAAACCAAAAAATAGATGCACTTTTGACAACGAAGGCAATTCACTCCCCAGCAAGCAGGCTGCAGAGCTGCCCTAAACGCCGGCTCAAGCCCCCTGCCCATATCCTTCAGCTCATGTTTAGGACTGGACTCATCTTAAAGCCAAATTGGACGAAACCAGTCCCGGGGCCGCGGCGTGACCTTGCCACCTCGGCCGCCCCGCTGCAGCGGCTTCGGGCCTTGGGGTGGCTTTGCGGCAGCCGGCCATCGCGCCGGGCACCTCGCTTTACCGGCCGGCGGGGGAGAGGGCAGGACGCCAACGCGCGTCCCGGCTGCGCGTCAGCTTACCGGAGGGAATAACCACGGGTGTCCTCGAGCAAATTTCAACATGCTTCAAATTTAATACTTAGGGTGTTAGTAGTATAGGCAAAAAGCACACTTACAGTCTGTTTCTTTGCTGGCGATTATCCTCTAAGAACAAAAGCAAACCTTTGATTTTAACAAATGTCTTAGGGGAACATGCAAAACTTTCATAAAATAGGAGCCTTGGGGTGGGGAAGGAGAAGTGCAGGGTTTAAATAGTATGGGGAAACACTTTGATAAAAGCATTTTTGTATGTAGAATTCATAAAATTAATGTTTTCTAGTAAAACCACTTTTTTTTTTTTTAACCTTACAAATGATTTCCCACGTTACTGGCACTTTCAGCTCTTGGTAGACTGCGGTATATTTTACGTCTGTGAAATGACTCAACCGTACGCAGCCGCGCCGCAGCAGAACAGGAGCAACGATGCTCACCAAGCTTTCTTTCTTTTCTTGTTTTTTTGTAAAATATACTGATGAATATTAAAAGGAAAACCTCAACCTCACCAGCACAGCCCCGAAATAGCGCCCGTGTTGCCGTGCCGCCTCCTTCCCACCCTAAAGGCGACCAAGTCCCAGCAGGCCTGCTGCGGCACGGCACGGCACGGCGCCCCGCACGCAGCCAGCCGTGGTTTGAGCCGGCTGTTAACGTTTCCAGCGTCGCAAGATTTTTCCAAATCCAGAGCGTCAGCTACAGCCGTCGGCTCCCCGTGCCTCGCCGCTCGCTCGCTCAACGCGCTAATCCGGCTTTGAATTCCCGTGCCAAACCCTGATCTGCAGAATCGTAGGCAAGCGTGCCTCCTCCCCCCTTTGCAATCAGGCTGTCAGCTTAGAAATAAGGAGCTTTAACAAAACACAAGCGGCACTATTTATTATTTTGTCTTTTGGGCTTTTGTTCTTTCCGCTGTTTTTACTTTCCATCAGTTGACTAGCTTTTCCCCACGACCCTGATATATATATATATACGTGTATATATATATATA